TTTTTTAGCTCGCATACCTTTGTCGTCTGGGTGAACTCCCTCAGAACCGTCGACTTAACGCAACGTGAGAGCAGGAGAGGGAACAGGACAGGTAAATATTAATCCTGACAAAAGCACCATGGCAGGTTGGAACTTCGACAGGATTACGGACACATAATAAACACAAAACACCACAATATACAGTGTATAACCCATGGATGGGAAGCACACACACACACACACACAGACACAACTTAAGCAGAACAAAATCTAAAGAGACATCACACAAAAAAATGTTAGTCAGGGACAAAATGTAATGTAGCAATACGGTTACCGCAGCTTTGAATAGTGGTGCTGTGCAATCAGCCTTAACTTCAAGCTTGCTCAGGCAACTTCATATCAGGATGATTCCTGCGCAGTGCTTGAGAGAAATTATGTGGAGATACAATTTGTAGAAAGTTAATTTCAAATAAGCCTCCATTTTGTCTTCTGCTGGATAAGGACAGCATTTCATTTTCAATTTCCTCTTCAGTCGCGGCGGCTGCTGGTGATGGTCGTATTTATCCTCCATTATGATTTTTTTATGTGTCTGGTCACCATCAGCTTTGTGTCAGTGTTGTTCTTCACATCCATTCACAAGATTCTTTGTCTCTGCATTTTCTTCATCATCAAGAGTTTTCTTTTCTCCCCGCGTGGTCTCGTTCAGTAATTACAGCCTATTTGCATCTCAATGTGATTATTAATTTGACAGATATCTTCACAATCACGTCCCTGGGAAGCTGAAATTGATCAATGATATGGTCAGTGCTCCTGGATATTCTTTTCTCAGGCAGGTAAAAAAAAAAAAAAAGTAGAATTTTCTTGACATCATGGAAGACATTATACTTTGTGGTAAATTGATTTTTCCATTATTTGGGCTGCTTCCACTTGACAAAAAGAAATTCTTGCTGCGGAAATGGTCTTCAGTCCACATAATACAGTGATATAAAAATTTCTTGGGGATTCCATATCTTCAAAAAAGATTTTCTGGTGATACACTGACCTCGTGCAATCTTTGATGTCTTTGTTCTCTGTTGTCTCCATCTTCTTTGGTCGTTTCTGACCTGCAGGTGTTCTTTTATTTTTATTTGCAGGTTTTTTTCTCATAGAAAGATCAGTCATCAAATAAATTCTGTTTATCATCATACCTCAGACAAGAGGGAATTCAGATGGAGACAGCTGCAATACCAACTCTGGACTGACCTAACAAAAGGGCGACGTCCATCATTTTGCACTTACCTGCCTGCCCAGCGGCAGTCTGATCGGTCACCTTTGACCTCTTCCACATCTTTCCGTCTTCTGGAGCTCTGTTGATTCACAAGGCTCTGCAGCAACAACAAACAAACAACAGAAGATAAAAGAGTAAATCTTTTAGCAGAGCATACATGCGCGGCTCAAAGGCATTCCACTCAGATTTTGAGGTGTCAGTCTTTTTAAGTGGGTCGTGCTTTTATTTGCTCAAATTCTTTTGAAAATTTAAGCGGATGCCAATCAAAGGGTCGACACTTTATTCAAAAACCTTTGGAGGAAATTCAACATCTCTTTAACACACTGCTCCTCTCCACCAGTGCAGTTGCTCTAACCAGTCAGTGAGCGGCAGCAGCCAGTGTCATATACAGTAACAATCTGAACAGGGGCTTAACATCGACCTTAAGAAACCTTTTCAAGACGTCAACTAAGCAAGGAACTCGTTGAAGCCTTAAATAAACAGGGTTAAGACTAAAATACCCCCCTGGCCTGCACTGATTATTATCAGCCAATTTATTTTCCAGTTTAATTTAAAACACAGGTATAAAGATGGAATAAAACTAAACTACCTATTCACAGGCTTTAGAAAACTAAAAGGTAAAAGATGGAAATGCAGATCTCCACCTCAATATCCACCACCCTCCAATTCTCCATTCTCTTGATTTTAATATTTATGAAGCACATTATCTGAAAATATACATCCTCTTTTAAATGGAGGCATATTTCAGCCCTTGAATGTGAGAGGGAAGCATTTGATCACCACAATCGTTATCTAATTTACCAGAAATTACCAGAAGAGTTTTACATAAAACCATTGAGTGTAATGTTACACTGACGTGGATCATACCTGACTCATGTTGCTCTAGTTTGTAGAGTCACCACGTGAGTCACCTCTCTGATATGAAAGGTCACATGCATCACTTTATTCAGAGAATACTGTTGACATCAAACAGGTGAGTCCTGCTTGAGTTCTATGTTAATGGTGAAGTATGAATAGCAAAATCTATTATTCTATTATTTGAATTAATCAACAGAAAGATATATATGATAACTAAATTGACAATTGACTACATTTTTCCGCAGCAACTTGAAAATACTTGATAGGATTTTGTATATGATTCTGGGTATTTAAATGTATATTAATATCATAAGATATACCTTCGAAAACTTGATCATACAGAAAGCAACAAAGCCAAAAAAATGCTTGATTTTTTATGTGTGGAACTTGTTTCACATGGAACTTCCCCAATGACTTGAACTAATATTTGTATTTGTACATTCTGCTCACTGTCCAGCATGTGCACTCTGTCCACAAAAGACCATGAACATTTTTAGAAAATTGTATTTGTAGTAAATCTTTCGTGGGACCAGGGGTGAGGTAAATGTTAAAAATGAATCCTTAATCTTTGCTATCAGCTTCATTGTCATTTACAACAAAAACCTTTAAATATGTGGAAGATAGTCAAAAAATAACATATCCAAATTTGTTTCAGTGACGTCTTCTCTTTTTAACTCTGACTAGTTATACTTAACACTCTTCGTTCAATACTCCACCTTTATTCTCGCCTGATGACCCACTGAAAGTAAAACCTGTCATCTTGTAAAGTAAGGGATTTATTTTTAGTCGTACACATGCTCCAGCATATGTTCAGAAAGGTTTCTGTGCTTCAGCAGCAGCGATCTTGGCTCTCACAGCGTCTTCACACTGAACCTCACAACACATATGGTAACAGCAAAACAGCCTGCAACAGGAGACAGTTTGGCAGCAGGCCCTTTGCATTAGAGGAAACCCACTCCTCTTCCCGCCCACTGGATAGTTTGCCATTTTAGCCGATTACATTTTTAGTTTAATGTTTGGCCGAGGCTCTAAAGCTAACTTGTGTGGGAGGGGACATTTTGGACAAAATAACATAGATGCTAAACATCTGTCCCAGCCGTCCCTGAGATCTCAAAGATTTGTGTTGCAGGCTGCATAACAGTACTTATTCTCTGTCACTGCAGGCTGTGTCTCAAATCACTAAGCTTAGATATATAGACTGAAAACCACAGTAACCGAAAGGTTTTTCTGTAGATATGATAAATTATTATTTTTTCTTCCAAGGATGTTGGTATCTTAATGAAAATTATTATTTTTGTTCGTCTTCTATTTTGAGTTTGTCTCATAATTGCTTCCCCATCAATCCTCTGAATGATTTGGTGTGTGATTACTCCTCTCTTGGTCAAACCCTGTAGTGTTTGTGATTTCATTAATTAATGCGTGTGCAGCATCAAATCCATGGACAATATACCTCCTCTAATATTAACAACATGTAGTAAGTTAAGAAGACGCGTGTGGAGTTCGCTGAACTTTGTAAAGAAGAGGCGCCGGACACACTGTGCAGCAGACAAACAAAGTGTACCTGACGTGTCAGTGGTACGTGACATGTCTCTTGTACCACCCCCCACCCCGTGTTCCCACCAACAGATGACTGCACCGCTGACCACATACTCTAGAAACAGCATCTCCTCGCTGCGTTTCCCCACACGTCACAGACTGCAGTTTAGTGGTCGAGACAGAAAGTGGCTTCAACAGCATAAAGCAGAAAACCAGGCGTGACGTCGAGGTCCAATGCTGCTATTTGAACTTCCCAGTGGAACACCACATTTGTTGAATTGCTTTATGAGAGCTGACAGGTTGATGCATTGACTCCTGTATTTTCAGTGCATAAGAAATGCTTCATGTTTAACGTGATTTGTTTTGTTAGGTTCAGCAGTTTGTTTTCATCAAGCCATGTTTAGTCTTTTTGATCAATCATGTCATTTCTGCACAATCGCCTTGAAGATAATTGCTATGTGAGGAAGAGTTTTAAGGAGAACAGCTACAGTACCAACCATAGTGCTGCATGTTTCTCAAATGTTGAAAGAAAAACTTTCTTTCTGCCAAAGCACAACCCACTCCCCCCTTTGAAACACTCTGAATCTCAGGCTCCATATTGATTTGAAAGCTCTGTCTGAAGTTAGTCATCAGCCAGCAACCTCGCAGCTCTGACCTCACCGCTGCCATCCAGCTTCCCAGATTTAATACCGTGAAATTCAAACTGAGAAGCCTGCATGCATTACTTGAGTGATTTCATGCACAATACCAAATCTGTGTCCTCTATGTAACAAAATCCTGCAGTGTTTTAATGTTAATCTCAATTATTAATATGGTCACACGCTGTAATTTGAGCAACTGAAATGAGATAGCACATACAATTCTATTTACTGTAAGCCACTTTATTGCTCTCTAAGCACATTCAGCTGCAAAGGAAAATAAAAGGGTGTCTTCATTAAATTGAGCAAGTACAATTTTGTGTTTTTTCTTTGCAGCTACTTGTGCACATGCTCACAAAGTGCTGTTCTCTTTCTGATGCAAATGGCGATGTTGACATAGCGTATTTATTCTGACGTCCATTTGCAGGGGCTGACCTAAGAACAATAGGCTTTCTGTAATCCATTCATCTCTGATCACTTCATCTCTTATCCAGCCTTTCGTTTTGAGGGCCACCTACCTGCTCACAGTCCTCAGTGCTCTCAGCTCTGTCCCCTGTCAGGCTGTAGTCTGGTCAAACTTTATTTGCAATGTAATAGATCCTTCCAGCAGTGTGCTAGTGCAGTGCTTGATGCTCCTCTAGTGCCTAGAGCCAGCGACTGCCAAATGCTGTTTAGGCTTTTTTTGTATTTGTGGATACTCCAAAGACATTGGAGGTTGAGTGGGCGGTGAAGCAGGAGGGTGGGGGGGGCACAGTGAAGGCCAGGTCGAAGAGCAGGTTAAATACCTCTCAAAGAATCATTTGTTTCCATAAAACATGTTAAATGTTAGTTAGGTAGTTTCTTTACAAGCCTTGAATCTAGATACGAACACACAATTCTAAAACCTTATAGTGTTTGATGTTAACATTTAATGTCCTGAGTTGTCCGCGATGAATTCATGAAAAACGAGACACATTTTATAAAGAACAACATACAAGACAGGAGACAAATGATCGATTGGCCACATCACAGTTAATCAACATCAAACTCATAAAAGCTCAAATATACGAAGATCCACATTTGTAAAAGTGATTTTTGACATATGGTGAAAGCAAAAGTTTACATACGCCTTTGAAATATTAATGAGAATCATGTAAACTTAACAAAAACAGGTTTTATACATGGTAAATTTTAATCTGCTTAAATTATTATTAATTAGTGAACCTATAAAGCAGTGATTGTGTTTATTGGATGAAAATTGATGGACGTTTCCTCTTTGAGGCGGGACTATGAACAACAACAATGCACATTACGTAACGTGCACACACATGTCCAACATGTGCATTTGACATATTTAGCTATTCAGGCTTCGCATCTGCAGTCCATGGGAGGTTGATGGTAAAAAAAAAAACATACAGACAAAAAAAAGAGACGTGTAAAATAACTATAGTAAATAATATGTAAACATTGACAAAGACCTGTAGCACATGGAAGACACAATTACTAATGATTAGAAAAACAGTGAAGACTTATTTGGCATTTCACATTGGCATCAGACAGAAATCATAATTCACAAAACACAGACATAGCCTAACCACTACTCCAGATGTGTGATAAATAGAATTTAATTGGTTATTTTTAACAGGATATTTAACCAGAGGTCTCTTCAGAAAGGTTTATTCTTTGTTAGGCTTTGAATAAACTCTAAAGATGGACAGCCACAGAAAGATCCGAGGTCAAGGCTACAGCCACGGAACGCCTTTGTCTCTTGTCTTGCCTTTCGTTCCACTTGCGTGTCTTGTCCAGAGTTGTATTATTTTAAGACACGTTGTAAATGCTGCCAGCAGCCGTCAATAGAGGCTTAAATAAAGAGGTGAGGTGTAGGTGCGCCACATTGTCCACCACATTGTCCGCCCCGCCCCCCCCCTCCCATCGAGGATTCGTGCCAAACACGAAACAGCTGCTCCATGTTTATGTTCCTGTGAACACACGAAACCTGATCAAGAGTATCTGTTCGAGTTTAAACAACAAAATCATCCTCCCCAGAAATACATTTACAGTAAAACATGCTACAACATTCACAAACAGAGTGAACCGTATTTATTTATTCATTTACAGAAGTATTACAGTATATTTACAGCACTGGTTCAAATTTTTCTCAGTATTTAAAACTTCTTCTAGTGTTATCGACTTGAATTACTGGATTGACATTTACCATTAAATAATGTGATTTTGCCCTTTACATTTTACATGCTTGTTTTGGTTCCTTCATGAAAAAATACATAATATGAAGAATGATTTGTATCCTAAAGAATGAAGTATGTAGGACCCCCCTCAAATATGTTTTTTCACCACATACCGGTCCTCTCGAGGGCCTAAACCTTTCACGCCCCGGTGCTAAAGACCAGTGAACTTTGCCTCTAGCAAACAACAATCATAAATCTGTCAGACTTGAATAAATGTCTTCAGGTATTATTTTCTAGCACATGGTTGTAAGTCTGGGACTATTTAAGTCACACAGAATGCATTAACCTTTTTTATTCAGCTTTACTCAGGACTCAATAATATAGTGTTTGTTATTGCAGAATCTAATAGAGATATAGTAACTACAGAGGCTTACATGTGTCTGGATGTCTAGAAGTGTTTAAAGGTTAATAAGAATACATACATGTTCACCAGCTACTTACATGTCTTACTGGTTCACTGACATGGAAAAATGACTCCACAGGCATGTACTGGTTTATTAGTGGGAGCTTTAACAGATGTCATCTTGTCAGGTTGTGTTCTCAGAGGGGTTAAAGTATGACTGCTGCTCCGGGCTATATTTGAACGACTGTGATGACAAATGCTCAAATGATGAAGTACAGAAAAATACAAAGATGTTAATGAATCATAAGATTGACATTTATTTTCTCAGAAAAAAAAACAATGTTATATTTTTTTGATATTGTTACATTGTGAATTTGATACATTTTATTTGTAAAGTGCCAAATCAAAACACGTATATTACCTGAAGCCATTCAATATCACAATATAATGTAGAAACTCAATGAGAACTCTGTGTCACTGGAAAGAACCAAACTCGGTTTGTACGATCGTCTGCCTTGATTGTTTGAGTTGAGAAAAGAGGATGATTAATTGTAACTCATAATATTGATCGTTTCTTTTTAATATACAGACATATCGCTTCATCTTAACAGTTGTAATGATGATTGTCAAAATATTTCTTTGCAATTTTTTGAATTTTGAGTGAAGTTTGTGGTTGTAAACAATATTTTTATGAGCAAAGTGGAAACAAAAACATTGTACAAATCGGAGGTATATCAATTATGTGTTTTACCTCTTTAACACTTTAATATACTTACATATTTTGGGATTTGTTAAGTGGCAATTGTTGAAAATATATTGTGATTATTACTGTTACTGATACATACAGTACATGGCACAATAATAGACAGCTCATTAATTCAAAATGCAGAATACACTTTTTAATATTTCAATGTTTATATATCCTTATAAGGAATAAATCAAATCTAAAATAAAAAATATTGAAAAAAGGCAAAAAAAAAGTTGCTATTCAGTTTCAAATCGCTGCATAAAGTGATGTAACTGAAATAACTGTAGCGCAGACTTACCTTGTGATTTCTATCACTTCTCCTGACCTCCTTCTGGAGTCAGAGAATCGTGTGCCCGGTCTGTATCATCACCCTTGATGGAGGCTCTCATCCCACTCACACATCGATTCTGCATTGCACGAAAACATAGACAGTCACAGAAGTAATAGTTGTTGCTGTTACTTGCTATCTATGCTCCTGCCAACTGCTTTGCAGACTAAAGCTTCTAGGTATATTTGTACAGTGAAGTATTCACATGCCAATTGGCTGTTTACAACTGTCTACATCTGTTTCTAATGGTCATTCTCATAATTCACACTCCACCTCCTCTGGCTCCCCGCTGCCCATCTTTCACTTCATTGCATATCCAGCCTTTCTTTGATATTTGAGTCATTCCCCGAAGTCTTCTTCTTCAAACAATGTCTCGTCTCACTCTGTCATTTTGATCCGTCTCAAGCTTTGGAGTATTTTACTGCTTTATTACTGCCAGATACTTGTGTTTGATATTTGTCATTAAAAAAATTCACTAGTTTGTAAATATTGTTTTAAACATGTTGTCAGATTAAATTGGTATGTTTTTTTACTTTTTGTAATGATGGTAAAATGTTTTATTTTTTTGTAGTGGAAGAACCTGGATCATGAAATTATTCCCAGGTTAAACATACACGACACAAACTCTCCTCCTCAGGTTTCAGTGCCTGTACCATATTTTCTTATAGTTTCAATCGTGTGGATAATATCGTGGAGTTATCGGGCTGCACAATGCTATCGGGAAAGGTAATGCTCCCAATCCTTGTGGGAGGCGAGTGGCTGATGAGGTCACACCATGTGTCTGATTTATTGCTCTGCTGGCCTTGTGTAGCTGATGCACTGTGGTCCGAACCCGGCACACAGCTGATTATATAAATCAGGAGATATTTCTGATACTTTTAGTTGTAAAAGCAGTTGTGAAACTGTGCAGTTTCAATATCCTTCTATCCTGTTCTATTACTTTATATATTGCTATTTTTATATTTCTGTTTATAATTGTCTTATTTTTTTGCATTGCACATTTCCTCATTTATTACTTTTTTAACCGATGCTTCTTATTCATCTCATCTTAAAATGGAAAGTTTTCGCTCTCTTTTCACCGATCACTTCCTCAGTTCAAACTGTCTGGAAGTTTGCCATTTTCTAAACATCGCTTTCTCTATTTCTGGCGCACACACACATTTGTATTCATATTGTGTTTTCAAGTTCTACAGTCACAAAAGAATGAAAAAGGTTTGATCTCAGACTGCAGGTGTCTGTGCTCCTTGTTGAAATTTGGCCTCTGTCTGACCTCTGAACCTGGATGTTCCAGTAAATAAAACCTTTTCACACTTTCCACCTCTTTAAAGCACTCACACAGAAGCGACCAGTGAGCTGGAGGACTCAGCTAAACTTCCTACTTTACCCCCATGATAATTGAATGCTTGCTTTTCACACTTCTCTGACTCTAAAGTGGCATTCATCATGTCCCCGTCATGGACTCAACAGTGTGGAAAACTCAATTTTGGCTGAATTATACTTTCAAAAGGGAACTTTGCTGAAAAAGTGGAAGGAGACATTCACCAGGTTCGTCCTCGCAGCTCATCGCGCCCTGTGAACCTGAGGGCTGATGTGTATCAGGTGAAATCCTTCCTGCCACCTGTCTGTCAAACAGACGCACACGCTCAGCAAGTTAGTGTGGCATGTGTCTGTGGTCATTTTAATATCTTGACTTCGAGAGCAGTCGGCCTTAAATTGTGTTATCGGTCTGAGCAGTGGTGCAGTGAACAACATGCTGTTAAGAGTAAGATACATGAGGAATGACTGGACACAGATAATTCAAATATGAATATGACATAAACAACAATACTGGAGATACTGTTGTTCTATTGATGGAGAAAACAATTAAATTGGGATCACCTCAATATATAAATGCTCATCACAGGTCTTTTGTCAAAACGCTTCACTTCTATCCACAGACTTCCCATTCGGTGAATCAGTCATGTCGTCCACATTGTCATACAAATGTATTTATTGTTGGGAAGATTTAGTTCATCAATTATT